ATCATGCTTAAGGAACAAATAAATTTCATATAATTGTCTTCATAGCTACCTTTCTTTTTACTCTATCCTAAACTGATGATGGTGTCACAAAACCAACAAAATGAAGAAACTGACTGATGTTTCACAACGTAACTCTTTGACAGGCAACTGTTATATAACAGTTACTTCTCAATGAATTGCTTATATTTTGTTTATACAACAGATTGCTAAAAGTTATGTGTAAAATTATTACTTCTCAAACAATGATAGTGTAAAGTGAAACACCACAATAATGCCCTGTGTGTAGCTTTGTATAGCTAACATTTTTCTGGAATAATAGTAAATTTGATTAGTATGTGTTTTCCAGAGGGAAGGTCCACTGCTTTCATTAGATTCTCAATGTGTCTGATAAAAATTCTTTAGGAACTACTGTATTTGTTTAATAAATGTAGTATATTCTAACTAAAGCTAAAAGGAGAAAATGAATTGTTATGGTTGAACTGTGTGCCCTCCTAAAGTCCCATGTTGAAGCTCCAGTACTTCCAGAATGTTACTGTATTTGCAGATAGGGTCTTTACAGAGGTAATCAAGTTAAAGGGAGGTCATTAAGGTGGCCCCTAATCCAATGACTGGTGTTCTGATAAGAAGAGAAAATTTAGATACAAGCATGTGTAGAGAGTAATCCAATTTGATTGATGTTCTTATAAGAAGAGAAAATTTAGACACAAGCATGTGTAGAGAGAAGATGATGTAAAGACACAGGGATATGGATGAAAAGGGGGCTCTCTAATAAATATGACTGAAAGTAACCTCACAGGGTGACGACCAGATCATAAATCCCTAACTGGGCAGGTCACACCTACCGCCTATAAAAAGGTTTATCTTTGTCTGAAGCAAGCCCTGTCCATTGTTCTTATGCATCTAAGTAAACACAACCTTGAAATGCCAGAATAATCCTCTTTTGTAGATAGCTCAAAGGAGTAACCACCCTGGAGGGAGAACATAATCTTGTTAACTATTCTGTATCTTGCTTTTCTCACTTTCACATAATCTTCCATACATTCCCTCTTTTGTTCCAAATTTATAAAAGAAACTGCAAAACCGTCATTCTCTGGAACATCTGAGATCTTGCTTCCTGGCATGATGTCAGTTTGGCTGAAATAAACTTTTACAAACTTCTCCACAGGTTTGAATGTTTCTTATGTCAACGGGGAGGAGATGGCCATCTCTAAGCCAAGGAGAGGGCTCTGAAACAGATTCTTCTCTTACAGCCAAAAGGAACAAATCCTGCCAACACACTGATCTTAGACTTCTGGCCCCCAGAACCATGAGACAATAAATTTCTGTTGCTTAAGCCACTCAGTTTGTGGTACTTTGTTATGGCAGTCCTAGTAAACTAGTAAACTAATACTGGATTTAGGGTAAAGTTCCACAATCCATTATTTTTCTTGAGTTAGCACTTAAGTTCCTACACAAATTCTAATTTACTCAGGTTCTCATTCTCAAATTTTATAAATTCTGATTTTGTCAGATTTGTCTCTCTAGGAAAATAAGAATGAAGAAAGAAAATTAATTAGCTAAATTATGGAGCTCAGGAGCATCAGATCATGACTGGGTGCCAGAATTCTGGCCTGGGGATTGAGCCCACAACCCAGGCCTGTGACCTGACCGGGAATCCAACCCTGATGTCCTGGTTCATAGGTCGATGCTCATTCTCATTCTCTCATGAGTTTACAGTGGCGTATTCTAGAGGCTATATGACCTGTGGCATTGCAAATGACGAAATACAAAATGAAACATGAGAATCCAGCTTTCTTCAATTAAGCCAGACAGTAAAGACATTTGCAAAAATTTAAAACAATACCACTCTTCTTGCTAAGTTAGAAAAATAATTATGTTAATATGTTACAAGTTTACTATTTTTTAAATTGTTATTTAAAAAAAATTTCTTAGTTCTAATTTCTAATACGGCAACTATTAATTAGATACAAGTTTTAAAAGCCTCTTTAGAGTCCTTAATTTTTAAAAGTGTAAAGAATACCTCTAGTCAAAAAATTTGAGAACCAAAATCTAGTCTTTGCATAAACTGCTCAAATTGTACAAATTGGTCTAAAGCAATTACTCATCCAAAATGCAGGAAATCCCTACTTAAGAAGGCCTGCACCTCAAAGTTTTTACTTAGATTTTTTTCCCTACCTCTTGGAGCATACATGTTGATATCTAGCTTTTGAACCTGTTAATATGTGGCTTTCTTTAAGCCCTTTCTTGATTTTTTTTTATAATCTTACATGCTACCTGTTAGTTTGATCTGTATAATATTTTTTCAGCTTGTTTTGTACTTTAATTATTTGTATAGTTGTTGCTAGATTGTGAATGTTTGTGTGCCCTCCTGCCCCGAATTCATATATTGATATCCTAATGCCTGATATGAGGGTATTAGAAGTTGGGGTCTCCGGGAGATGTTTAGGTAATGAGGGTGAAGCCCTTCTACATGGGATTAGTATTCTTATGAAAGGGTTTCCACAGCACCTTCTGCCATTTGAGGCTACAAGTGTGCAACCTGGAAGCAAGTCCTCAATTAACCATTCTGACTCCCCCATCTTGGACTTCCAGCCTCCAGAACTGTGAGAAGTAAGTTTATGTTGTTTATAAGCCACCCAGTCTGTGGTATTTTGTTACAGCAGCATGAATGGACTAAGACACTTCTCATTTCTAACAGACTATTAAGTCCGTGAAGGCAAAACAGTATAGTGTGGAAAGAGAATGTGCTTTGGGATCTAACACACTTGGATTTGAATTCTAGCTTCCTTCTTAGCAACTCTGAGACCCTGGGCACGTTTCTTAAATTCTTAGGGCTCTAGTTCCCACATTCTTGAATGGGGATAACAATAACTATCCTGTTGTCATCCCCACTGAATACAAGAGCTTAGCACAAAATGGTAACTAGTACTATTAGAAATCTCTGTAAATCCTCTATTTTCAATCACATTACTTTGATAAGTACTACAGGCACTTGATAAGTATTTCTTGAATTAGATGAATTGAAATGTAACATGTTATAGGACCTTTCCCCTTGAAGCAGAAAAAAAATGAGGCCATAAGGTCATCTACTTTTTGTCTTTTAGATTAACTTTTTTGTTATAAAACACTAGGATTATTTTCTTTGTCTCTCTGAACCTTGTCTTTCTCATTCCTCTTAATCTGTAACTATAAAGTTCTCAATAGATTTTTGACAGAATCTATAACTACCTCTTAAGTATAATCTTTTGCTTTCCCTATGATTGCTCCTAATGTACCATTAGATTTTCCCATAAATTTGAAAGGTATACTAGTCTTTCTGAGATTGCTAAAGAGAGATTCTTTCATTTCCTTTTGTGGTGGCAAAAATACTTTTTTATACTTCTTCCATCAGACATACATCTTTAGCTTCTACAAATAAAATGGATTCAACAGTCTTAGCATAACCTAAATACACAGATGTCAGTGGCTGAATATATCAGAAAACACATTTTATCTGTAAAAAATTTTTTCAGAAAATTTGCATCTCTTCCTTATCAAATTATGACAGATCTCAGAGACTAGTAAAAGCCTCTCTCCTTGCCTCATCAAACTTTCAGGAATCAACAGGTCTAAATCACTGATGCTAAGAGTATTGTTAATTTCAAATTGTTTGAGGGGAGGGAAATAATAGAATATAACCTAGTAATAGTAAAAGAAAAGCAGCCCAACTCCTTGGGAAATTTCTCTCCTTGTTTTTTTTTACACGCTTCTGTAACCAAAGCATGTAGTTAGTGACAATATTTCTCAAAAAGACTCAAATTCTAAAAATTTCTTTACATTCCTACATTTTCTCCTCCTATATCTCACCGGTCGTTTTATTCACTCCTTTACATTCCTGTCACTATGCAATGATTGCATATGACGAAACAGGCTCTCGGGATGGTTATCTGTTCCTAAATCTCCTTTCAGCCTCTGCAACTCGGTCCTGCCTGGGCGTCGATCCCAGCCCAGAGGAGCCGGGGGAAGACGGCACACCCGGAGAGCTCCGTCCGACTTCCCAGCTCACTGCACAGCTCGTGTTCCCAAACAGCAGAAGCAGAGCTGAGTACTGCCTTGTGCCTTTGTCGTCTAGTGTATATCGTCCTGTCCTGCACCAGGGTGCTATTTACAAAACGTTCAAATCGCCTTCACACAACACTCGACGTACAGAGCCGAGGTAGCTCCTAGAATATTATGAAACTTGTACGAAGGGAGAAAGCCGAGCAAAGCGCCAAAGAGCAACCCAGACTCTCAGGAAAAACAACAGAAGAGCATTAAACAACAACAACAACAAACAACAACATGTGTCTATACGAGAATGGTGCCTAAAACAGAAACTTATGGTGGTGAGTTCTCCCAAGGTCCGTGAGAACAAAGGACCGGCGACCAGCAGAGTAAGGGCAGTGTCAGGGCGACGGGCACGCGCGCCACAACTGGGGAGACGGGGAGCACTGGAGGTGTGTCGCCCGCTCCCCAAAGAGGGTTGAACGACTCCCCTCTACCTATGCTGGCCCGCGGCCGCCGGCCTCTCCATTTTAGAAGACAGCCACCCCTCTCCTATCCCCTCCGCCCCACGCCCCGTTCCAAGAACGCTGTCACCCACCTCCGAGGACCGTGCCCAGGAAGATACATTTCTTTTTGTGACGTTTGAGAAAATTCCACGTCGATCTCAGCATCTTCAGGCCCTGGAGGTGCGGGCTGCCTAGGGGGAGGGGCGGGGGGGCGCCAGGAAGCCGTTTCTCTGTCACCGGCCCTGGACCACTGACCCGGCAGGAACGCCGTGGCCCCGCTGGGCGCTCTCCAGAAATCGCAAAGGCGACTTTCCGCGGACTGTCACCCGAGCGGGAAGGGGGCGTGGACTGCAGCAGACCGGCGGCGCTTTCTGTGCGGCCGCCGCGCCGCCGCCTCCACTGATTGGGCCGGGCCACCCAGGTCCGCCCAGAAATCGCTCCCGAGTGCCTCGCCGATCGAATCCCCCCGGAAACCGCAGCCTATGCGCGCCGGGTTCCGGGCGGGGGCTTCCTTGGCGCCCCGGCTTCCGGCGCTGAGCTCGCTGCCGCCCCAGCGCGGTATGGAGGCGAAGGAGGCATCCACGCCAGCTACCGGCGGCGGATGCTCGGTGTCAGCGGAGGAGATCGAAAAGTGGATGGAGGAGGCCATGCAAATGGTGAGGAGCCCGGGAGGTCGCTGCCGCGGGTGGGAACTTCTCCGGCTCTCTGCCCAGCCTGATCGTTGGAGCAAACGCCCCATGTGCTTTCTTGTTACCATAATCTCTTGGCGCCACGCTCTCTGGGTAAACAGCTGGCTTGAGGCCATTCCCACAGTGGCTCTGGGGAAGGAAAAGAGGAAATACAGAAATTGTTTCTTTTGGCTGGCATGAAGTATGCGCCAAATGTCCCCATTCAGCTGCTGTTGGCACATACGTGCAGCGCTCCCTTCTTTACTGTGAACACACTAGCAAATCCGCCAAATCACATTATTTTGTATTTATGACCCCTTGACCCCGTAGAAGGAAGGAAACTGAGGATGTTTCTGGTAGAGTAGATAAACCAAGCCCCTGTATAGCCAGCCATATGCTACCATCCATCCATCCATCCATGCATCCATGCATGCATCCATGCATCCTGCTGCCTTCCCTTGCTCTGGACTGTTGATTGAGGAGGGCTCTAATCAGATTTGTGTATAATCCAAGCTTTCCCCACACTTAGGTGTGCCAGCCAGCTTTTTAACAAGGATAAAAGTGCATTCGGCATATATACAGGTGTCCCCCAAAAATGTATACACACTTTGAATAATTATAAAGGCAGTGTTTCAGCCCTAACCGGTTTGGCTCAGTGGATAGAGCGTCGGCCTGCGGACTCAAGGGTCCCAGGTTCGATTCTGGTCAAGGGCATGTACCTTGGTTACGGGCACATACCCAGTAGGGAGTGTGCAGGAGGCAGCTGATCGTTGTTTCTAACTCTCTATCCCTCTCCCTTCCTCTCTGTAAAAAATCAATAAGATATATTTTAAAAAAAATAAAGGCAGTGTTTCAAAATGTAATAGAATCTACAGGCATTGTGTATATACATTTTTGGGGGACACCCTATCAATAATAATAAAAGCGTAATATGCTAATTAGACCAGACGTCCTTCCAGACTACCTTCTGGACGAAGCCGGGGCTGCGGGAAGCCTGGGTCCTGGGTGCCAGAGGGAAGCCGGTGCCAGCAGCCGGGGCAAGGAAGGCCTCTTGCACGAATTTCATGCATTGGGCCTCTAGTTAATTCATAATTATGTCTTCATTCACTCCACAGATGTTTCTTGAGTGCACTGTGCTTAGCAGTGGGGATTCAATCCTGAAACTGTTTTTGGCACCTTCTCTGTTCTCTTGTCACATTATTTTCTCTGCATTCATGCACTATTACAGCCAAACACTTTTCTCTAAGCCATGAGGCATTACAGCATCTATGCATTTGTTACATAATGTTCTTCTAAACTTGTTTCTTATGCTTTTTTGAAAGTGAATCATAGTAAAAAAAAATCTATTTTATATTACAGCCCAGTAAACAGAATGCAAATTATTTTATACTATACATACGAGCTTAGAGGTTAGACTAGCCTATGTGCAAACCCTAGAATGGCCACTGACAGCAAACTGAGATTCTTAACCTTCCAGCCTCCTGCCTTCTATAAAATGGGCAGATAGTATCTATCTGTTAGGGTTGTATAGGGAAGTTCTTCACTTGTTTGTAATAGTGGAGATTTGAAACAGTGTAAATGTCAAACAGTTAAATGAATACAGAGGAACACTGTGCAACCTTAAAAAAATCATGTGCTGAAAAATATTACCTAACATGGGGAAATGTGTATATTTCTAAATGGAAAAGGTGGACTGCTGAACCTGTATATACAGTATAAATCTATTTGACTTTTTAAAAAACTACAAACATGTATATTCAGGCATAGAAAAAACTTGAAAATCTTCTGTTACAGAATAATAACTAAGTGGTTTTATTTTTTAATGTGGATATTTTACCCCTAAATTTTCCCCCTTGAACATATCTTACTTTATAATTAGGAAAAAAGAAAGATGGAGTGTGTGAGTGTGTTTATCAATATCTATCTATCTATCTAGTTCTATCTATTGAGAGAAAGCAAGTGTTCTAGAATAAATCAATTATATATTACTAGAGGCCCAGTGCATGAATTCGTGCACAGGTGGGGTCCAGCTGGCCTATTGGGCCGGGGGAGGGGACACGGGAGGTTGGCAGGCCAGCCCGCCCCCTGGTCAAGCTCCCGGTAGAGGGGACAATTTGCATATTAGTCTTTTATTATATAGGATTGTAGTATTCATTTTCTGGGTGTCTGGTATTGGTATAATATTGTGCTAGGTCTGAGGAAAATTCAAAAAGAAATCAAGCACAGATACTTATCCATTTCAACAATTGTGCTGTAATTGTTTCCCATGTTTTAGGCCTTGTGCCAGGTACTAAGGCTGCAAAGGTGAGCAAGTCAAGTTTGCTAGTGCGAGGATCGGGTGCTTGCCTCCCAGGAACATACTGTTTAATGGATGAACGTAAAACATGCACCAATGCAAAAGTTAATAAATAACATGTCCAGGGTCCAAAATTAGAGACAGGTATAAAGTGCTATCAGATAACAGGCAACACAGTCCTGAGCAAGTCAGTGAGATCAGTTTGGGATGCTTACTGCATTTTAAAAAGAACAAAAGCAATGTGGGCTGGTGAAAAGGAAGGGAGTGGTTGATCAAAGCAGGGTAATTGTCAAGTGCCAAGAAATAGAGGACTTTGTCTTGGGTGAGGAGGTGAGCCAGCTATCTGTCTAGAAAGGGCTTCCTAACCTGAAACTATATAACAACGTTATGTGCACGTGCCTGTTCCATGCCATGTGAGAGAGTTCATAACTTTCATCAGATGCTCAAAGGGGGTTTGACTGCAGTTTGCACAGACTCTTGATGAGTCACCAGATATAATTCCTATGAAAGAAAGAAAGAAAGAAAAAAAAGGCTGGAGAAAAAGACAAGTTAGCCAGAAAACTCTTAGGTAGAAGGTAACAACATCCAAAAGATTACACTACAGCAGTTCCTGCTAATGCAGCGGTTCTCAACCTGTGGGTCGCGACCCCTTTGGGGGTCGAACAACCCTTTCACAAAGGTCGCCTGAATGCATCCTGCATATCAGATATTTGCATTACAATTCATAACAGTAGCAAAATTACAGTTATGAAGTAGCAACGAAAATAATTTTATGGTTGGGGTCACCACAGCATGAGGAACTGTATTGAAGGGTCACAGCATTAGGTAGGTTGAGAACCACTGTGCTAATGATACTCAGAAGCTCTGTTTTCCTCTCTCACCTTTAAATTCCTCAACCTGCCACTGGCAGCCTCCCAACTTCCACCTATCCTCCCCGCCAGCCTAACTTTTCTTTATTCTTCTAGGTTCTTGGTTCTTAACCTTTTCACCTTCTACCCAAACTGCCTCCATATCACTGATCCTTCTTTCTCGGCCTGTTTTTTCCTCAGGTCTTTCATAACACCACACACTCCCGGTTTTCCTCCTGCTTCACTAGGCATCTCTTAGTCTGCATTCCAAGATACTTCTCATTTGCTCCACCTTTTTTTTTTAACTTTTCATTTTGAAATAGTAATAGTTTCACAGGAAGTTGCAAAAAAGTGTCCAGGGAAGGCCCATATACTCTTTACCCAGTTTCCTGCAATGCTAGCATTTTATATAACACTAGTACAATATCAAAACCGGGAAGATGACATCAATGCAGTCTGAGTTTATTCAGGTTGCCTCAGCTTTATAGACACTTGTGTGTGTGTGTGTGAGTGTGTGTGTGTGTGTGTGTGTGTGTGTGTGTGTGTGTGAGTGTGTGTGTGTGTGTGTGTAGTTCTGTGTAATATTGTCACATGTCTAGTTTTGTTTCATTACCACCAGAACTGCTCCATAACCACAGGTTCGCTGATGCTGCCCTTTTATGGTCACCATCTACTCCCAACCCTAAACCCAGGCAGCCACTTGTCTGTTCCCCATACCTATAATTTTGTCATTCAGGAAAGTTATATACAAGAATATTTAACCTTTTGAGATTTTTTTTCCATTCAACATAATTTCCTTGAGAGTCATCCAAGTTGTCGAGTCAGTCAATAGTTCATTCCTTTTTATTGCTGTGTAGTGTTTTCATGGTGTGGATGTACCGGAGTTTGTCTCAGCATTCCCCCACTGAAGGATGTTTGGGTCATTTCCAGTTTTTGGCTATTATGAATAAAACTTCTACGAACATTCGTGTCTATATATGAAATTATGTATCGTATGAGCCTAAGATTTCATTTTCCTGGCTAACTATATGTGCAAGAGTGCAATTGCTGGGTTATGTGTTAAGGGCATATTTAGTTTTTTTAAGAAACTGCCCAACTGTTTTTCAGAGTGGCTGTACCATTTTACATTCCTACCAGCAGTGTATGAGTGATCCTGTTTCTCCATAGCCTTCCCAACATTTGGTGTTTTTAACTTTTCATTTGAGCCACTCTGATAGGTATGTAATACCATCTCATTGTGGTTTTAATTTGCATTTTCCTAATGGCTAATGTTGTCGACGTTTTTTCATGTACTTATTTGCCATTTGTATGCCTTCTTTGGCCAAATGTCTGTTAATATATTTTTCCCATTTTTTAAAGGGCTTGTTTGGAGTTTCTTGTTTAATTTTTGAGAGTTCGTTACGTAGTCTACATACGAGATCTTTGTTCAGTATGTGGTTTGCAAATATCTCCTTCCAGTTTTAGTTTGTCTTTTATTCCTCTTAAGGGGGTATTAGTTTCCTATGGCTTTGTAACAAATTGCCACAAACTTGGTGGCATAAAACAATAAGTTTGTTCTCTTGTTTTTCTGCAGGCCAGGAGTCAGCAATCAGTTTCTCTGGGCCACCAATGTTTCAATAGGGCTGAGCGCCCTCTGGAGGCTCTAGAGGACATATTTCCTGGGCTTTTCCAGATTCTAGAGCAAGCATGTCAAACTCAAAGGCTAACATGGGCCAAATAAACAAGGTTTAAGTTTCTGTGGGCTGCAAAAAAACAAAAGCTTCAATTTTCATAGAAACGTAGGTTTATTTCGATAGAGACATGCTGAATACAAAGGGCTGAAATAAATGAGTAATCATTAACATAAAGTAATAGAACATTTTAATAAAAATTAATATTTTTTTCTTGAACATTAACTTACCAGACACTGAATAACTGCACAAGTTAATTAGCGCAACACAAATAAACCTATTTTTCTTGTCCTCTGAAAGCTAAATATTTCCTGTTGTGCACACCAAACAAGTCAGTACAAGACTAATGATGTGGCAATCGGCTGCTAAAATATTCGCTGCTAGTATTAGAGAGAAATGGTGTGCCTGCACATAAGACGCTTAAGGGAAATGAATGCAACATGATGATAGTAATCAGTCATTATTGAATGTTGTAGTTCGTTATTAATAATTATGTATAACAGGATATTGTAAAAATTAAGTTACAAAATTTTTATTAAAACCTTTCTTAAACCTTTCAAAATATTGGCTGGGCCACAAAAATATTTGTTGTGGGCCGCATGTGGCCCGCGAGCCTCAAGTTTGATATGCTTCTTCTAGAGCAGCGATTTTCATATCATGGCACACAAACTAATTACTAAAATTCTGGAGGACACAAAAAAACTGGTAAAATTTTGATTTGTTCACACTGGACCGCTATTGTTGTATTGGCTGTTGTCATTTTTCTACTTGACAGTCTGAGGGAAAAGAGGTCAGTGCCCCTTACTAGTCAGGTATTGCATGTTTTAAAAATTCTTGCGGCACACCAGTTGAAAATCACTGTTCTAGAGGGACATTCCTTGCTTGGCTCATGGCCACTTCCTCCCTCTTCAAAGCCAGCTGTTGCATCTTCAAATCTTTCTCTCTGCTTCCATTGTCACATTACTTTCTGCTTTCTGGGTCAAATCTCTCTGTGCCGCTCTCTTACAAGGACACTTGTGATTGCATCAGGATAATTTCCTTTTCTCAAGATCCTCAACAAATAAATGATTCATATTTTTTGAACAAATAAATGATTCATCTCTCATGTGTGTTGGGGTTATGTGTAATTCTAAGCTATTTGAAATTACAATATTGGCCCTGTCTGGGTAGCTCAGTTGGTTAGAGCATCATCCTGATATGCCAAGGTTGGGGGTTTGATCCCCAGTCAGGGCATATACAAGAACCAACCAACGAATGCATAAATAAGTGGAATAACAAATTGATGTTTCTCTCTCTCTAAAAAATTAAAAGTTGCACCTTTGTGTGATGATTGCCTTAACTGCACTGACACTTAGCATCGCCATCCTCCCTGCTGTCAGTCCTTCTCCTGGCTTTCCTTTCAGTAGTAGCCTATGGTGCATTGTAGTATTTATTTGTATGTATTCACCAAACCTTGTAACTCTTTAAACTTTCAAACTTGGCATGCTTCCACAGTTTTTACAGGGACAAGATTAATCAGGGGGTAGTTCGTGACACAATTCTGAAGGATGCAGTCTTACTGCTTTATATACTGCCACCTTACGTTTCACCACTCCAGAGGGGAAAGGAGAGGTTCAGTTCACACACTACTATGTACCTCTCCTTTTTCCTCTTTTGGCCAAATGAAAAGTGTCAGTTGAGCATGCTTGAAGTAGCTAAGGAGCCCATGTTAACATTATGAAAAGAAGTTATTGCTATTATAAATAAAGTATAGCTGGAAGTAAGAGGCTAGTGCAGGAGACGGAACACTGTTTTCAGCAATGCCTTCAACTTTGCAGTACATGTGCCCTATGGTGTGTGTGTGTATGCCCTACACTTACATGGGAATCTAGTCTTCTAAAGTATCTTCTGGCCTGCCAAAATTAGAAATGCCTTGCCTTCCCAGGAACAGCTGTCCTTGGATTCTTTTAACTGTACTGAGATGGAAATCTAAAGGGTTGCACTCTTCCTTTATTCTCCCTCAGTGGTATTATCAGGACATTCCCAGATAAACCTGCCTGCTTCCGTTCTCTGCCCCCAAAATGTATTCTTTACTGTCCTGGGCCCTGGAGCTACAGTGGTTCACTCAGCAGAAGGGCTAGAAGTAAAATGGCAGCTGGTGATAGAGGGGAGACTTTGCAAATAGAATAATTAGTTTGCCATTCCCAGGATGGTGGTGGTGGAGTTGTTCCTCAGCTTATTTTTCATTTGGGGTGTACTTTACATGCAGTGAAATGCATAGGTCTTAAAGGCATTGTTCATTCAGTTTTGAGAGATGTAAGCATCTTTGTAACTCAATTTCCTTATGTCCCTTTCCAACCGATCAATCTACACATCCCTTTCCAGGAGGCAACCACCGCTCCAATTTCTCTCATTGTAGTTTAGTTTTGTCTAGTCGAGTACTTCTCGTGGGGGCCATCCTCTGCTTTGTGTTGAACTTCTTTTATCCAGCATGTCTGAGACTCATGTGTGTTGATGTGTGTATCAGCACTTCGTTCCTTTTTATTGCTGGGTTGTATGCCACTGTGTGCGTAGACCACAGGTGGTTCATCCATTCCTTTGTTGATGGACACCTGTGCTATTTCCAGATTTGGGCTATTGCGAATCAATCTATTATGACCATGCTTTTGCTGTTGTTTTTTTTTTGGTAGATATACAATCCCTTTCCTTAAAGAAACACTCAGGAGTAGAATTTGTCCATAGGCGATACGTTTGTTTACTTTTAAAGGAAACTTCCAAAATTCCTCCAAGGTGGTTGAGCCATTTTCCCCTAGAGTGCTCCTCAGCTTTTCTTGTCTCCCTTAGAGCAGAAGTCACCTGTATGTTACTGGAACGCTAGAAGATATTTTCTGTCCTTTTTGGAGAAACAAAATTAAGCAAGTAGAATTTCAACAAGGAAAGATTTTTAAGAAAGGATTTATATCATTTATTCTTCTACCTCTTTGCAAATATATATATATATATATATTCTCTCTGAAAAGGTGCATAGACCCTGGAAATTTAAGAACAAGAGTCAATAAGTCTTTTGATCACCTCTGCTTCCAATGAGGAAAAATACATCAGGGGCTCAGGACCTATGAAGGGATTTGTTCCTGATCTCCCTCCATATGGACACCCAGAGAGCAAAGGCACTCAGCACGGAACTGTATCTGAGAGAAGGGAAAGGCCAGTTGCCTTTCTTAGTTCTAGTATTTATACATGCGTTTACTGCTCTTGCTACATCTATTTCTTTCCTGTAGTCCTTTCAAGTATTGAACATTACATCTTAGATTTTCCACTTTGTTTTTCAGGCCAAAGAAGCCCTAGAAAATATTGAAGTTCCTGTTGGCTGCCTTATGGTCTACAACAATGAAGTTGTGGGGAAAGGAAGGAATGAAGTTAACCAAACCAAAAATGTACGTGAGTATAATTGCATATACAGGGCAGTGACAGTAAAAGTGGATGCAGTTATCACAGCTGGTGAGATGATGGGTCTCTGTAGAGTCCAATAAGGTATCAATGGAAAGGTAGTTTCCCTAAACATCTCTTTTTTTGAATGCCTTTTTTTTTTCTGATTCTAAAAGTGACACATGTTGACTTTAACACTTGAGTGAAAAACTAAGAGGCAATTTTATTACATTGGTATGTCAGTGTAGAAGAAATGAGTCTTCTCCATTTTAAGCAAAGCTAATATAGGAAAATTTCACTTTATAAAACATCTCTCTTTAACTCATATCACATTCTTTAGTAGCTCTAAAAGGATGTGTAAAGAAGCTATTTCTATTTCAGATAATTCAGTGGGATGAAGTCTCCACTACATGGAGTATGTACACTTTACTAGGTTGTGAGACTTTTCATTCATTGTGGCTAGGTTGGGAAGTTCATGAATTAAGGCAGCCCTTCTTGAATGTGGTATCACAACAGTGTGTCCCAGTAACTATAGATGAAGTGTCAGATTTTATGATTATAAGAAGTACCCGGTGGACTCAAGGAGAGCAGAAGCCCACTCTCACAGACTTTGATCTTGTTGTGTGACCTTGCCAGCCAGGGAATAAGCTGGTGTTGGTGCTAGTGCTATGTGGACTTTCAAGTTCATCCATCTTATCTGTCAAAGACAAAACGGAGACTTAGCAAAACACATGCAAAGTGGGAACACAGATTCCCAAAGCAGTTATGTGGGTGTCAAAATACCCATGAGATAAGTAATAAACATAATACAGCAATTAGATACTATATTTGGGAGTAGAATTTTGTATTTTAGATAATTGTCATATCTCCGCATTTGTATTTTGTGATTTATTTCGCACAGTATCTTTAACATAAGAACTTTGAATGTCCTAACAATATCCATCTTATGGCCCATGACATGTGTTTCTTCTTTACTTTGAAATTAACCTGGATTTATTTTGGTATTCTGTGTCCTATAATAGATACCCTATAATCCCAGTATAGAAAGACTCCTGACCCCAAATGAGGAGACCTGAGTCCTACTTTGGCTTTAATACCATCTCCACTCCCCTGTTACCACCGTTACCACCTGTTCCATTGTGCGGCTTTAATACGTTCTGTCTTAGCTTCTGGTTCTTCTGTCATAAAAGAGGAAGTTGCTTAATATGATTCATTCCAACAATTACTTATTGAGAACTATAGGGGGATTTGATTTAGTCATTCTGAATCTGATTTATAAAAAGGTCTGGAAACTTTTTCAAGCTCCCTGGTGGGTTCTGGTATGCCTCCAGGTTTGGGAACCTCTTTTCTAAAATCCCTTCTGACTCTGAGTTTATAATCCTGGCTTTCATGGTACTTGGGCCATTGTGCCAGCATTTTTCACACCCTGTCCTTGGTCATAGGTAGATGAGCAACTTTCTGTTTACCCTATCAGACTTTAGTCTTGTTGAGGACAGAGAGTTTTTATTCCACACAGAATTTAGCACAGTGGCTTGGACATAGATAAAACTCAATATAAGTTTCTTGATAAATGTGATGATCATGATGATCATGTGATTATATATATATA